AGCGTGTGTCTTATTAACGCCCGACAAAAGACTGTTAAGCATTTTTGTCAAGCGTGCATAAAACACATCGCAAACTGACTGCTTCATACCCGCCTCATCGACACCGATGTTCTGTGACATACCCAGGTATCGGTATGTTTCAGCCTCGGAAAGGGTCCTTATGCTGATGGGCATAGATAAGTCCATGCCCTCAGAGTTAGCAACCCTTCCCCTTTCGATATGGAGGATCGCACACTTATCCGTCCCCAGCTCCATTCCAATAGATTTGCTAAAATCACAAGTGATGTTTAGCAATTCCACAAGATGGGAGCGACTGGAGGCGAATAACTTGAGATCATCCATATAGAAAAGGTGGGTCACTTTTGTACCTCCTTTCCGAAGCTGAAATCCCCTCCCGGAACCCTCCAGTAAGGTACTGAGAGGATTCAGAGAGAGGCAAAACCAGATTGGACTCAAACAATCGTCCTGGAAGATACCCCTCTTATCTTATGTGGTTCTCCGCAGCCGTCATCCGCTGGCCTAGATGACAAAGGATCGTACTCCACTGCCCCATACACTGCCCGAGGAAGTCTCGAACCGTACAGTCAACCTTGTACAGCTCGAGGACCCTCTTAAGCCATGTATGAGGCACCGAGTCGAATGCCTTTTTGTAGTCTATCCAGGCGGCCGAGAGGTTCCGACGGTTGCGTTTAACCACCTTGCAAATGACCGCGTCAATGAGGAGTGGTTCCTTGGTTCCACGACCACCGCCGCGACATCCATTTTGAGCGCGCGACATCACCTGATTTGAGTTCAGGTGACGAGTGATTCTCGCGCTGAAAATGGATGTTAGTGTCTTGTATATGGTAGGTAGACACGTTATGGGGCGGTACTTGCTCGGGTCTGTGGAATCCCGGTCTTTAGGAACCAAATGAGTGATCCCAGTAGTGAAGAGGCTCGGGAGCGACTTTTGGTCGAGAGCCTCTTGAAACTGTCGGGCGAGCACAGCGTGACACACCACGAACCCCTTCAGCCAGTAGTGATGCAGTCCGTCGAGTCCCGGACTTTTCCAGTTCGGGGCCCTACGGACCGCCTCAGCTACGTCATCCGGCGTTATGATGACGGGGTCCATGGGCGTAATATTCGCACACTGACTCGCCACAACTTCCGTCCAAGGGCCCTCGCTGTGGTTTACGGGCTCTGACCACAGGCCGCGCCAGAATGCGATAGTGTCGGCCTGTTTCGGTGCTGGGCCCGTTCCACGTACCATCGGTCGCTCCAATGATTCATAGAGCCTCTTCTGATCACTCTGGAAGAGACGATTCTGGTTGAACCGTGTCGACCTCTCGGTATATCGCCGAATCCGCTTCCCCCAAGCAGCGATTCTCTGCTTCAGGTCGTCTATGCGCTCCGTCAGTTTTTGCGTTATATCCGGCTGGGACAAACTGATATTTGTCCCAGTAAACGCCATCCTGACGGTGCGCACAATTCTCGGCCTATTATTGCCCGACCTGAAGCTTATCAGTCTGCCGATGAGGACCCTTGCCTTTGCGATACGGTCCTCAATCCTTCTTCTCCAGGCTGGGATGGCGCTACTTTGTATAGTAGCGCGTCCAGCCGTGGGAAGTTTGGCGCCAATAATACGGCAAACTGCCAGTGCGGCGACAAAAAGAATTGAGTCCGTCTCGCAAAGGTCCCGGCTGGCTTCCAAATAGGTCACCAGCATTGGGTTAAGAGCCCTCACGACAGCCCGATTCCGCTTGCTTATGGTTATGCGCGGTAGTCGCGGTCGATTTTCGAGAGGCGTATTGCGCGTTTCCACAATCGCCTCCTCCAATTTACTCCTCATCTGCTCTAGTTCTTGGGTGACCATTCCATCATCGTCTGAATCAACTACAACTGGAAAATCCGCGGCGGCATCGACGTGTGCAGATTGTTCTGCAATTTGTGGCGTCGCATTACCAGCTGCAGCATTTTCATTCGATGAGGGAACGGCCTCACGTCGTAGTCGTTCGAGTTCGGCGTCACCAAATATAAAAGCTTTTACAAAAATTTACTTCGCAAATATCCGCGTTATAAAATAAAATGATGTGTCTTACCTAGTATGAAGAAGCACCTCCCGCCCTCCCTCAATTGCGTGCACTATCCCCGTCACCACTAATCCCAGCACCGCTACTTCCAACACCACTACACTAGGCAAGACACACTACTGACGATAATACGACACGTGTTTCGCCTCTACTGTAGTGGGAGTAGCGGTGCTGGGATTAGTGGTGACGGGGATAGTGCACGCAATTGAGGGAGGGCGGGAGGTGCTTCTTCATACTAGGTAAGACACATCATTTTATTTTATAACGCGGATATTTGCGAAGTAAATTTTTGTAAAAGCTTTTATATAATGGATTTCCGCAAAGTAACGCCTGATTCTATTAATTATGTCACCAAATATGTTGGAGCGCAGGATGTACCGAACTCGGTCTGCCAGGTTTTGCTCTGATACATGAACAGATGGCTCCAGCTCCGCGAAAAAGCGATGCATCCGAGCCCGATACGCCAACATTCCAGTTTCTTCCCCTTTTGCCCTAAAATACGCTCGCAATGCGTTTGCGTTCATGATTTATGTCCAACGCATGCGACGTGTTCCACCAGTGGCGGGTGCCACTTGCTGAGTCCGAGAAGACCCAGCCGACACCAAGCCCTCTGGTGGGGATGATGGATGCGGGCGGCTACTAGGTGGTCTTGCAGCCCCCCGCGCTTGGCTGGCGACCCGCATGCTGTCGCGTCCAGCGCCAGCTCCAGACGCGCCCTGGCGACCTCCAGGCAGCGGCCCTTTGCGCACTCTTTTATTTTCCATCATCCATTATATGGGCGTCAATTAACGGGAGACGCCCAGGCCCGGCACCGTTTCATGGTGCGGCCATAAGCACAGACGGACCTTTGCACCCTCAATTCTGCCAAGGCACGGCGTACACACCTCTTGGCAAGGCGCTGACTGACTGCACTGACGTAGCAGTTTTGTCACTTAACTGTTACATCAGCGGGCGGTGGGGTCGTCACTTCCCTACGCCTTATTATTATTATTATTATTATATTTCATACATACCTACATTCTTTACAATTTCGTAGTTTTAGGAGACAGAAGTAGTACTTAAATTTATTTCAAAATTATAATCTCCTATATAAAAACTTCAGCACTATTATCATTAACAAATTACTAGAAAAAACTTTTCATAAGAACAGCGACGCAACTTCGTTTGCAAAGAGGTCATAGGTATTTCTCCTCAGAGTAAAAGAAAAGAGTACCTATATAAATTACTAATAAGTCAGAGAGTAGTATAGTAGTTTAATTATTGTGTCTTTTATTTCAAATATAAGTAGTAAAACGAAACTGACAGTTGCATTTTAAAATTTACGATAATTGCCTTTTGATACTAGCAACGTTCGTGGGAGCCTAGGAACGTTTTACTTTTTATTAATGCTTACAAACAATAATACATTTAAATATAGTATACCTACATATTTAAATCTCTTTGTTTACCAATGACAATAATCAGTGAAATTTATTCATAACTATTTAGGTATAGATGCAAATATTGTCAGAAAAACTATGAGGAAGTGATACTTAGCATAGTTGTAGCAAAAATTCTGAGATATTGAACGGACCATGGTCGGTCCGTTCAATATGTCAGAATTTTTGTATTTCCACAGCAAATTTGCGAAAGTCATAGAATTCTTAGTTCAGCGTGGTGAAATCAATTATTAGGACGTAAGTTATGACATAGCAGTAATGCGAATGTGACACATAGGTTAATTAACTATAGGCTAGACTTTGTAATAAAAATTATACATAACCAATTCATGAATATGGCACTTAAGAAAGTTTACCATTTTTAATTACATGCATGAGAACATCAAAAATGTTTGGAACGAACAGACCCAATATTCGCATTTTTACAACTAACTTTGAAAACTACATAAGTCACTAGCTTTTGGTAGAATATCTTATCTACACTTTGTAAATTTACTATAGTGACTATGGTTCGCGCATTTACTGTAATGATATATCATAACCTACAATAGATACAGATTTGAAATTTTGCCACAGTGTGTACTTTGGGATCGGGTTAATCCAATTAAGAGTTTTAAACTAAAATGACAGATACGTAAGTTTGCCATAGACGTGACAATGACCGTGTTTCGTGGCATTTCTCGGCGGATATTCATGTCTAGGAGAGGAGTTTCTAAGGGCTTTAGTTAGAACGTATGTAAGTAACAATTTCAAAAACATTAAATCTTACGTGGTAGAGCCATGCTGCAGCTATATTACTGGTATAGTTGTAGCACGAATGAGTCGGCTGGACCGAGGTAGGACCACGCTCTCACAGAATACCAGCGTAAAATATCAGCTTAATGCTGCTGTGTTTCGTATGGTGAGTGTAGAGAACCGGAGACCCTTTTTACTGGAAAAGAGGCATTCCATTTTAGTACTCACGGGTGACAACGCATCTGCATTTTGATTCGTAATCGAGGATAGATGCAGATGTCTATGGGCCACAGCAACCACTTACCATCAGGTGGACTGTGTGCTCGATTGTCACTCTTATCCTATAAAAAATAAAACATAAAATTTTCAAAATTTCAAAAGTCGTTAAGCCGTTACAATCTTTGAAAATTAAATAAGCCATGAGACAAGGATGTATCTAAAAAAGTCTTTACTTCAAATAAGCTATTAATCTTTCAAAAACACTGATTACAACGTTAACAGTAGAAAACGATAAAATTGTATAACGTTTATCGTTATCAGACTACTTAAGCATCAACTAATATTTGAATATTACGACATGAACAAAGAAGATCTTACTGTGGGGGCAAGCTATTGTTAAATAACTCACTTATGTCAGCGTATACGTGTTTTCCATTAAATATAGTTATTCGAATAAGATTTGTTTGCTAAATAAATATTTTATTGTGTCGGAAAATAATATATTTCTATGTTATTAATGTAATTCTTTACGATTAACATGATTGATCATAAAAAAGATTCCAATGGTAATATTAAACTGCGTGTTAATTTATACCGAAATAGTGTTTATTAAAGGGTTTTTAATTATGATTGTATTTAGTAAAAATAACCATTTAGACGCATTTTATTTTAGATGAAATAAAAGATCCTATGGCAATATTGGAAGATGGGTTAGTTCTGTGCAAATTTGGACGTTTTCACATAAGATTGCTATTCACAAGTATGGCAGCTGTGTTTGCATCAACAATGGTTACCACTACTTCATCGTATATTTTACCCATGGCAGAATGCGACTTGAATATGAGTATAATGCATAAAGGCTTACTTAACGCTATGCCCTTTTTCGGTAAGTAATGCTATATTAACATTGTAATATCCTCAAAACCGAATATTCTAGGTCACGTATTCCAGTCTCAACTGAGACTTTTCGGGTAGAAAGAAAATATATAAATTTTTTATAACAACAAGAAACATCTTTTCAATTTAACGTAGCGTCACGCCTCTAAATCCCCAGAAGGAGGACGAAGAGTCCAAAGAGAAGTGAGCTATTTGGACCACGTTCAATAAAAAAATGAGTATAGATGGAAAATTGTTAAAGAATTGATAGGTAGTAAGAAGAATTGATAGCTCATCGACTACACAATTTCAACTCTAATATCCATTAGTTGCCTTTTGGGACATTTTGTAGGTGGTAGTATTTCTGTTAACAGTGGCGACTAAATAGTAGTGCGAGCACTGTTATTAGGAGGTAGAAATAAGTAAGAGGATGGTACCTTTCCAGACGAACCCCTACGTAAAAATGGAGTCTTACCAACTATTAACTGTCGTAAAAGGCGACTTATGAGATTATGGGCCCGTGATTGTATAGGTGGCTAATCTTTTCCAGTCTAAAGGGTAAAGAGAGCCAGTATAATTACATGAGGCATTCCATCTTAGTTCTCTCAAAGGGGACAAACACACCTGTAGTCCTTCTTTGTTTGAAGTTGAATTCATTGATAGCAGTAGCCACTTACCATCGGGTGGACTTTAAATTCGTCTGTCACTACAGTTATTACAAAAAAAAATGCTAGTCAAGTAACCCAAGTGGCATTTAGTTTTTGTTATAAGTCCCATATAGCCATGGGACCTATAAGTCCTAGACTAATAGGGGGCAATTCCATTAATTATACAAATTAGTATTTGGTAAAGAATATAATACAACTGAATGTGTTTTAAAATATTTTTATCGCTAACACTTTGCGTGAAAACAATATAAGGTTATCCATTTATTCGTATCTGAAAGTCAACTAAATATGTATTAATATTTTTTATAAAGTAGTCCTTGAAATATGGTGACACAACCATGCTGATTACATATTCTGTAAACAGGCCACAGGAATCAGTTCTTTTGTATTAAAGTATTTTATTTTGTTTTCTTTTCTTATCTATTACAGTCAAACACATTTCCACTGCTGAACATACGGGGAATCCCATAGATTATTATTGGATCCACCCTATTACGTAATCTGTAAATGTTATTTGATAATTATTTAGTTTTCTTTTTATAATTTTAAATTTTTATTAATAACATTAAAATTATTTTCAGGGCAAGTGGGAGCGACATTTTTTACGGGTTTCTTAGTAGATGCGTTTGGAAGAAAATTATTTCTTGTTGGTGGTAATGCGGCAATTTTTATTTGTACTATTATAGAAGGATCTAGTCAGAGCTATTGGATGTTAATTGTGATGAAACTTATCGAAGGAATTTCGTATGTATATCCTTTGATCAAGTTTTAGTGCAATAAATATTTTATTTTTTTAATTTGAAGCTTTTACACCAAACTCCATTGTACACATTGTAAACTCAATTATGATCATAATCATCATTACAGCCTATCAAAGGTCTCCGCCATAGATTGCCTCATATACCCCCACTCCCCCTCTTGAACTTAAAATAGCTTTAGCTGTAGCATTATTTTGATAACATTATAGACGACCTAATAGCCATTAGCCACCATAGACGCACTAATGGCTCCCACGTTCTTTAATTTTAACAAACTTAATAAAATAATATCTCGTGGTATACATCAATTTCGTTATTTTTAAACCCCGATACCCTAGAAAGGAGTAAATATTTAAATATATGTAAGTTTATGGCCTCTTACAGCCTGAACAGATTTTAAACTGCGTTGTGTCGATAGATTACCTTTCTTAGCAGTATCATATGCTACATTCTATGAGAATAATATGAAGCCCGCAGTAAACATTATAGCGCTTCTTTTTATCAGACCACAATAGGCCTTTGTTGTTCATGAGTCTCTCTCATTGTAAAGAGGATTTGTCTTTATCGCCACGTTTAGCAGGTGCCCAAGAGACTCGCACCTTTGACATTGCTCCCCTACAACGGTCTGGCAAATTAATGCAAAGTATAAACAAGATAATTGTAATTATACAGCTACTAATTAGAAACATTCAGATCTTTCTGCCATTACCCTTAGTGTCACCTTTCACCACCCATGTTTTATGAACGATTTTAATTTGGTGATGGTTTCTCTTACGCCTCCACTAAACAAGGAAAATCGCATAGCGCTTGCTTGAAGCGTATGCTGAGGCAATTTTAAAGTAAAAAGTTTTTGAGAATAGGCAATTTTAAGATATCTGAATTATAGTTAAAATTTACAGACACATATTCTTGGCCTTTTGCAACACATCCTAGATTTAAGGAGTCACTATCTCGTGGTTGGTTAGGTGTTTCCAAAAGTAATTTCTGTTTATATAGAATTACATATTAACAGAAACAAAATTATGCCTTAAATAGGAAAATATAAGATATAATAATTAAATCACCTTTGTTCCTTGAACTAAAGGAAGTAGTATTAAATGAATGGGTATTTTAATGCCTTCGTCGTACGTAGTTTTATAAGAAATATATAAGATGAAATGATGACATAAACAAGACTGTACTAGATAAACACAAGTAACAATGCGATAAAATTTATGATGAAGATAACTGGAAAATTATGTTGAATTGTTCATTTAATGTCACAGCGATAAGTTTTATTACTTCATAAACTTCAATATAAACAGGAGACATTTATCTAATGGTTAAGGTTATGGAGGGTGAAACTGAAAAATCGTGAGTTCAAATCTGTCATTCGTCTAATGACGTAAACTACTCCTAGCATAATCATTTTAGGCTTCGTTCGAGCGGCTACGTGAGTATTAGTAGTGCATATAATTGCGCTGCTGGTATTTGCAAAGAACAACAAGTGAAAATGTCAATGTACAATACTATTCTAAAAAAAAATTAAATTTAAATGACAGCTAATTAAGCAGCAGTCTTCAACAGATTTGGCAGCATACAGGCATGAAAGATCTCGAATGGCACGCGGCGGGACTTATGCAACTTCAATACAGCATGTAATGAAGAAGCGATCGAGCGAACCAAGGCTCCAAAGTCTTTGCCAGAAAGAGCCAACTGTCAAAGCTGAAGACCGAGTTTGGCAGCATCATTTCCGGGACATCTGAGATTTTGAGTGAGCTCTCCAGCACCTTAAAAACGGCAAGGCCCCAGGTGAGGATGGAATTACAGCACAGCTTCTGAAGGCGGGTGGTAAACCGGTACTTGAAGTCCTTCAGAAGCTCTTTAATTCCATCGTCCATAGAAGCACCAGTCCAGAGGTGTGTAGGAGAAGTGCGGTGGTCTTGTTCTTCAAGAAAGGCGACAACGCTCTCTTTAAGAACTACAGACCGAATTCCCTTCTTAGTCGTGTTTACGTGCTGCTTACGAGAACCGTTATGAATCGTCTCGCACGCAGACTCGACGACTTCCAGCCTCCTAGACAAGCTGGCTTCCGAATAGGCTTTAGTATTATGGACCACATACACACACTTCGGCAAATTGACAATAAGACAAGAGTACAATCTGACACTTTGCCTTGCGTATGTGGACTATGAGAAAGCCTTTGATTCCGTCGAAATTTGGGTGGTGCTGCAGTTCCTTCAGCGGTGCCAAGTTGAGTGTCGGTATATCGAAGTGCTGAAGTGTTTATAAAGTAGGGCTACAACGGATACCCAAGTATAGAACCATAGTAAAAAACCTATCCAACTGCAGAGAGGTGTAAGACAGGGTGACGTTATATCCCCGAAACTCTTCACCGCTGCATCGGAAGATGTTTTCAAGCTACTGGATTGGAAAATATTTGCCGGCGATATAGTCCTTATAGCAGAATCACAGGAGGACCTAAGCACTATGCTCAATGACCTCACTAGTGTCTCCTAACGGATAGGTCTTAAGATGAACATGAACAAAACAAATATCACGTTTAATGTCCATGTCACACCTATGCTGGTAGTTGTTGGGAGCTCTAAGCTCAAAGTTGTTGACGAGTATGTTTATCTGAGACAAATAGACTGACTGGGTAAGTCCAACTTCGACCGAGAGTCCAATCGACGAATTCTACTCGGCTGAGCAGCGTTTGGGAAACTACGACACATTTTCTCGTCAGGTATACTTCAAAACCTGAAAACGAGATTGTACAACCAGTGCGTGTTGCCAATGCTGACTTATGGATCTGAGACGTGGTTTTTCACTGCTGGCCGTATTAGGACGCTCAAGGTCCCTCAGCGAACTATGAAGGGGGCTATGCTTGGAGTTTCTTTGTGTGATAAACTTAGAAATGAGGATATCCGGAGTAGAACCAGAGTAACCGACATAGCCCAACAGATTAGTAAGCTGAAGTGGCAATGGGCCAGGCATATAGCTTGAAGAATCGACTCCCGATGGGGAAAAAAGGTTCTTGAGTGGCAGCTTCGTACATGTAGTTCGCTTACTGGTAGCTGCTACTCAAGAACCGGTGTAGAGCGACTCGCCACTAGATGGAGTGACGACCTGGTAAGACATACAGGAAGTCGATGGATTCAGATGGCTCAGGACCGTGCTTTGTTGCATTCCTTGGGGAAGCCTATGTTCAGCAGTGGAATTGTGAAGGGCTGTAATGATGACGATGATGAAGTGACATCTTACTCACTGATATGCAGCTGTGCTTAGGGAAAGCTGTCAGGCAGGTTATGTCAGACACCTACTGACTAAAACCTTACTGTCGTCACCCGAGCGTTAACGGGGGGTCGCGGAATCTTCGTGGGAAAGTCTTCGTCGTTCGTCTTCGCTCCTTCAATCTTTTGCTGTTACCTTACTATTTCTCGCTCAGCAGCCTCTTTTTGAAACCTAACGAACCCACAATATAAAGCTAGAGGACCACGCGACATCAAATGTATACAATACTATAAGCTTTGACTTCGACTTTATCTGTCATGTAATCATCGCTAACACGACTGGTGACGAATATGTGTTAAGGTATCGAGGTCCAATCACATCACAATGGAAAAAGCTAGTCCGGTTTACTATTTGCTTAATTTCGTAGGTCATTCACTCCGTCTCTGCATTCAACTCTCACAATAATCAAGAAACAGCATGTTTTCTTCATTTGCATATTCATTGCAAGACTGTTTATAACATCATTAATCTGTCAAGAGATGCTAAGAGATAACTAAGCAGTGATGAAATATTCGCGGGCTTATTTGGTGTTGTCGGCCGAAACGTGGCCGGAAGGAAAGTTAAGGTTGTTTGCATAGTTCATCTATTTGTTAAAATCTTTAACAAAAAATTTGTAGTAGAACCGGAGTAACTTACATTTCCCAGTAACGACCTGGAATTTAAAGCTGTAGATGGCTCTGGACATATTTCTTGTCATTATTTGAAAGAAGAGTATGGAGAAGGGGGTGTGGTTAAGTGTTTCAGCCTATATAAAATTGGATGTTAGGATAATTTTTTTCAGTGTCATATATAATTTTTTTTTTCAGATTAAGTATGTCATTTAGCGCAGTTGCGTCAATGATTACAGAGTTTATACATAAAAATTTAAGAGACAGAATACTACTACTTTATTGTTCATTTATGTCGCTATCGCTTATAGTCACAGCATTGATGTCATGGGCAGTTCTGCCTCAACCATGGCATATTATTTTATTTCGTGGTTACTTTGGTAAATATAAGAAATTTTTTATAACTATGTAAAGTAGATTGAAGTATATGTTTTTTTTAGGATAAGGGTGAAAAACGAGCACACAGTCCACCTGATGGTAAGTGGTTGCTGCGGCCCATAGACATCTACATCTATCCTCTATTACAAATCAAAATGTAGATGCGTTGTCACCCGTGAGGACTAAGATGGAATGCCTCGTTTCCAGTAAAAAACCTCTACTTCACGCTGGTTTTCTGTGAGGTCGTGGTACCACCCCGGTTCGAGCTGGCCCATCCGTGCGACAGCAAAAGCTGCCGCGTGGCTCTACCACTGTTTAATATGTAATATATGTAAGCGTTACTCCGTTTTTGTTTTCTTAAAATATGATGATGTTATCTAATTTCGCACGTTGTTTTTGTTTTTGAGATTTTTCTCATCATCAAATACTTAGCAATTTGATTCATTACATTGCTATAAACATTTTAATAGTACTTACACTGAGGAACGAAGTTCATTTGCTTGTATGTGATGATGAAATGTAAAACAAGCCTATAAGAATGGACTGCTAGACATTTACGTGCCTCATAGGAAGGATTTGCTTTTTTACAGATGTACCACTTTTGATGCTGCTCTCCTTCACAGAACTGGACGTTTTACGTCTGTCGTTGACGAAATAGTCATTATCATCTAGCGGAAGCCATTATCTATTTCTAGCATTTCCCAAAGTCGTCACTTTCGACAGACTCGGGTCAACATTAATTGATGCGCCGTAATCGTCATCGTCATTGAAGTCCGCTGCTCAACATTGGCACCACCATAGATTGCATTATAAGGATGATATTTGCCATGTTTTTGATTTGGTTTTGTCACCTCTTACGACACCACCGGGCGATATAGGATAGTGGATATTAATATTCGTACACCACTACTTTTGCGCTCATTTGCGCTATAAACTCACGGTTAATTTTTACTACTTATAAAATTATTGTATGTGAATCCTACTAATATTATAAACGTGAAAGTTTGTAAGGATGTATGGATGTCACGCAAAACTACTAAATGATTTTTAATGAATATTTACAATTATATAGCTCATACATCAGAACAACACATAAGTTATAATTAATAAAGATATTGCGTAAATTGACCAAAATATAACGATACATGTTAAGTAAGTCGGTAAAAAAACGACGTCTGTCTGAACACGCGTCACGCAAAAACCAGTGAACCGATTTGTATGGGACTTTAACTGGCAGATAGCTGATGTTATAAAGAGTAATTTGGGCTACTTTTATTTTAGGTTTCTGCGAAAAATAATTCCACGCGTGCGAAGTCGCGGGGAACAGCTTGTTTGTATATAACTATAACTATACTCGTCAAAATTAATGTTGATTTAAAAAATACAAACAAATTTCCACAGAATTACGAGTTTGGAATTTCTACTTGTACATTTGTTCTATCTGGAGTGTTATTGCTGCAATATTTTACTCAACTATACCAGAAAGTCCCAAGTACCTTTTATCGCACGGACAAGAGGATGCAGCTTTAGAGGTGTTAAGGAAAGTATATACCGAGAATACTGGAAATTTGAAGGAAACTTTTCCCGTGAGTCTTATATATAACAATATAAGTATGTATTTTATACTGAGTGAAGTAGCTAATCTGTCCCGTAAGTGTCAGATTCAATTTGCAAATAGTAAATTTTGTGCCTAGATTTTTTGTGCATTCCCTTTTACTAAATATAGTATGCAAACTTTTCCTTCCGATCTTCGACGGCTCTGTGACGCAGGGGCTTTGCATTGAGTTGCAGCGCCGAGTACAGTGGATTCAAAATAAATGTGGAAAAAGTATTTGTATGGCTTACTAATAATTATTGTGGGTTTGGATGTTTGTCTCTGTGCAATTTATGAAAATAAATTTCCTCCACGGTACAGGAAAATATCCTAGTGTGAGGGTGAATTTTTTTTAATAAGAAAGTTTTATCACATTTACACGTCACTACACACATCAGATACTGGCAGGTTTTGACAAGTTGGTGGCTTCGGGTCCACATAATTTTAGCACTGCAATTGACTGGAGTATTTCGTAGCAATTAAAATATCTCATAGCTGTCTTCTTATTTTGTAAGGTTTCATTATCAGCTCGTTAATGTTCAATATTGTATATGAGCCTCTCTCGTTAGGGAGGATGTGCTTAATCATCACGCTCGGCAGACCGACGATCATATTTATACTTTATATAAGGTTTATATACTGTAAGCTATTGAATTTACAGTTAGTTCTAATTGCACATTCAATTGTAATTTCAGATAAAATCTCTTGGCGCGTCTGGAAGTTTCAAATCGACTAAAGATATGAGTTTTAAGAAACAACTGACGCACGCAATGATTGAAGTGAAAGATTTGTTTCGACCGCCTCTATTTTGTAGACTAATGCTGTTTTCATGTCTAACATTTGTCTGCTTATTAGCGTAAGTATTTAAATATTAGATTGAACGCTTACGCCATTATAACCTATGATATAAAATAATCTGTTATTATGATTTTTACTTACGTTTTTCTACTTACTTATTTATACTTTATTTTTTTGACCTTTAATAAAAGGTTAATATAAATACCGGATTTAATTCATTTTGGCTATATCTTCCAGATAGATCTAGATTCTGTGTACATTCATTCTGTACATTCTCTTTTATGCTTGACTTTATAATATATTTCCTATCGTCGATAGGATTATTTTTTGCTAGGTAGTATTTTTATTATATATAAATAAAATATCTTTGATCACTACAAATAGAATAATTTAATGAAGGAACTCATCATCGAGTGAGGGCAGTGTGTGTAGAGTGTGAGGTATTCAGCATGTATGAAAAACACACGATACTGTCAAACTCGCATTATAAGTTGGTTAAATCGTCATTGACGCAAAAAGGGGCGAACCTCAATTTTTCATAAAATTACTGGAGAGCAAGAAAATATTTATTATTCCCCGATTACTAAGTTTTTTTATCAGAAAAATCAATATATTAATCGTAATGGAAAACTACAAATAAGATTAACTGTCCACAATGAAATATTCGGTAAAATATTAATATATAAAAAATGCAGTTACAGTGCCTTGAGATTGTGGTACCCACAGCTTTCTACAATAATAGAGAATTACATAAAAGACCACGGTGAAACTTCACGGTTTTGTGTCATGATGGATGATTACAGACAAAGTTTAAACGAAAAAGAAAATATATCTCTAGCAAATAATTTTACAAATACTGAAGTATGCATACCTGTAAGTATTTCTTTGAAAGCTCTTATATTACTTACATTTTATAAATAAAATCCTATTGAAGTCTTGGGTTTAAGCAATGGATTACGACGAAAAGAACATTTTGACAGTTGCAAATACATTGAATTGCATGAAAATACCGTTTATATGCAAGACAACTTGGCCGTTCACTTTTCTGTATAAACAGTTAGTGGTCGTCAGATCGACGATAAACTCAGGTGTAGAGATGAGAAAAAAGTAATAGCACGTCGAGATTTAAAAAACATTAATAAGTGTTCCGTCACATATGCTAGGAATTTGGTCATATTACCATTATAATATTAACCATTAAATCACTCAGTTCTTAATTAATAACAAGTTAAAAAGGAGCCAGTCAGGGTAAAAACTAGAGTAGAGGAAAGAAGAAATAGCTCAGCAAGTGTTTTTTTACATTTACTCATAACCTATATTTGATGGTATATCCATAACAACCATAGTTATATTATATATGGCTAGGACCTTAGATATAGCTAGAACTTTACATATGAAGATTACTAGCTCTATTACTTAGGTGTTGCAACACAGCAGTAGCTTTTATTGTTAAAAGTCAATTGTACGCTCTATAAATACAAAACAGTGTGAAATTATTTTTTCTTTTTAATTCTTTGTAGTCGACTTTCACTTTATTTGTAATGAAAGATTTTTTCTTCTTTTGAGTGATCTAAGGAATATCACAACCTCAATATCGTCTGAATGGTGACATTAAAAATTTCATTCCACATTTTCCCACCCTTAGGGTTGGAATTTTTTCCTTAAATTTATATGGTACTAAAGCTTAAGTATAACCTATTTAATGAAAAATAGTCGTCAAAACAGCTTCACAATTGACGAAGATATTGCATTACGTACAAAAAAGGCTGCAGTCGAATTTAAAAATTCCATCTTTTTTAATTCGACCGCTAAATGGCTAAAACGCCAAAAGTCTTTTTACCTTTATTTTTAATTCTTTGCAGAAACTAAGTGGATCAGAGACTTACATCAACGGAATAATTTTGGGTCTTTTTTCTTTACTTTTTATGGGTCTAAGTGGTTACTTAGTGGACTTTCTGGGCCAGAAAATATTGATGTTTATATTGCTTATCTTATGCGCTATTTGTTCAGGCAGTTTGTATTGGACAAATTCCTCTATACAAATAGCGGTTTTGGTTTCGGCTACTTGCGGCTTAATGCAATCTGCTTTGAGTTTGCAACAGAATATATTGATAAGAGTGTTTCCGACAACTTTACGGTACGTATGATTTAATGAAAAATATATTTTAAACAGTAATTCTAAACTATTTTTTTTATATAAGAGACAAACGAGCATGCCGCTCACCTTATAGTAAGTGACTACCGTCGCCCGTGAACAAATGTAACACCAGGGGAATTTCAGATACACTACCGGCCTTTTAAAAAAGATTGGGCTCTTTTCTTGAAAGTTCTTAAGTCATTTCGAAAATTCGCTGGGGATAGTCAATTCTACAAGGTGCGAGGAAGAAATTTTCTTGTAACTCGCCCAGTGGTGGACCGCCAATCATCCAGATTGTATGGTTGGTATCGTGAGTTTTGTCGCGATGTGCGATGGTGAAATTGGGCGACTGGAATTAGTTCGAACTATTCTTCTGTGCACTCCCCATGGTGGTTGCGGTAGAATACGCAAAGAAATGCAACATCTCTTCACAGCGCCAGTGAGTCAAGCCGATCCAAAATAACTTGGTCGCCGACGAGTTATTATCATTAGAGTTCATCACAAATCCACTACTGAACATAGACCTCACACATAGATTGCCACCAAATACGATCCCAAGACACCAGTTCATTGACTTACCGCATGTTACATTCGTTCATCACTCGATTTAGTGGAGGATCTAAAGATTTTAAATTCTTGGTCTGATATTGAATTCTCACTCATATGGTAATTTTGCAAATAGCTCAAAATTAATATTAAACGAGTTGGATCCCCATCGGTAACGACGAATTCTTAATTGCAACTTTAAGTGATGATTAATTTATTTACTAACTTATACTACGACTTCGTCCGCTAAGAACTTAAACAAAAAACAAACTGTTGATCAATAATAGTGGTCTTTTGGCAAGTAGTTCAATCATCGAAAAACCACTATTAACTCAGCTGCTATCGTCTCCATCAATATGTGCGATATAGGGAAATTTTCGTATTAATAATTGAAGAATTTTAAATAAAAACTTTCACATTTTATAGTTCAATACTCATAGTTTTGATGTAAAATTGTGTTAAAGTTGCGTTCACAATTCTTTTATCTTGCTTTCGGGAATCACTTGGGAAATCATGCACAAACCTGAGAAAAAAATGTAATATTTTTGAGGTCATGTGTCAAGTCAACAATTTCAAGTAGCGCATAATTCTCTGTTCCAAAAAAGTCGTAAAAATTAGCTAGTACTGTGAAGCAAATGGCTGTCACTTCTTTAATACTCATATACAAAACTATTATCTGTAACGTTACAGGCTATCAAAAGTCCACTGCTGATCATAAGTCTCCTCATAGCGTGCCTCACGGGGGCACCAAGGTATTAATAATCACTAAATAGTATAACTTGATCAAATTTGATGTGGTTTTGCGACTTAAAGAATTTCTTGCGGATAGTTTTTTAAAAATGTTGGATTTTATTATCAATTCGTAAAAGAATAACATAAAACTGGTGAGTTGAGAGTATGCGAAGCACTGTTACATGCGAGTAGTAATTTTTCACTAACAATTTAGTTCAGAAATACTCTTTATTTCCATATAATTGTTTATAAAACTTACAAAATTATACAAGGATATAATATTTGCAGAACGCTGGCATTATCAGTTATAATCATGATGGGCCGAATTGGTTCTCTATTGGGAAATATTTTGTTTCCAATAATGCTTCAAATTGGATGTATGGGACCTTTCGTAGCATTGAGTGCTATAACACTTTGTAAGTAAAGTAACAAAATATTGTTAAGTCTTGTTTTTATTTGTTATTATTTATTTATATTTTCATATGAATTACAATTTTTTTATTACGAGAGAGCGTTCCGTTTACTTTGTTAAAAATAAAAATAGTAGTATAATTAGTTAGTTCTTTAAAATAGTATCCACATTGGAAATATCTCTTGTATCGTGGAGGCGTTTTATATGCCCGGAACCATTATCTATGTATTATTTTATTTATCTATGAGTAAAGTATAACCGGGTAAGAGAATACATCACTTCATCGTGATCCTTTTATATCTAGCATTGAGTTTCGATTCGATTTGATTTCTCAAAAATGCGTCATCATTTTCGCTTTTTATGGCTTCAGATATAGATCGAATTGACCGGGAAACGCTCACGTTCACAAAGAATACGACAGTGAAGTAGCAATGTCATGCTGCGGGGTTTCGTATTGTGAGTGAAAGGAGCCAGATACCCACATTACTAACGATTCATTCAAAATTAGTCTTCAGAGTTGTTGAAGCATCTGCATTTCGATTCTTAATGTAAGATAAATGTAGGCCATTTGTCCTACATTAAGAATTGGCATTTACTTACCAACAGGAGGATTGTGTGCTCGTTTATCATCTTTACTATATAAAAAAGCTCTGTATCAAGTTTTTAATTCTGAATGGTGTGGATAGGGCCGTTGTTTTCATACTGGTAATGGAGCCACATTCTATAAGATTTTTTTACGGCATTTATCTTCGATCAATAATAGTACTTGATTAAGGATCAGGAACAAATATAAGTCGCTCAAATAGCGACGTTTGCACACACGTAAACATCTATTGGTCTAAGAGCCAGTGAGAGGCGGGGCTTAGTCTACTCCTAATTCTTACATTTATACATTATCAATAGGACTAGATTAACACCTATTCTGCTCTTCTGCCCGGCGAGAAGTTTGGCAAATGGCTCTGGGGGAGAGCGCAGGTTGTTTTGATCCCCAGGGCAAGTCTGAGGAGTTCTTCCTTCACGTGGTTGCCGCCTGTTATTTGGTCTGGTCCTATAGGAAACAGAAAGAAAAGAAGCACTCAGACGATCCTCATTTTCTTTTCTTGTTATCCCACCTCCTTTTTTTTTCAAATCTTTACTCAATCCAAGGTGTTAAGCGTACCGTGCTGATAGATGCGTGACAGCGAGGGAGCATGAAGAGCTCTGCCGTGGGTGACTGAATTTTTCCCTAGCTATTTGTGGGACCAAAATGGAAGAGTATCGATATTTTGAAAAAATAACTCTATTTTAATGGAAATGACTGTAGGTCTGGAAGAGGCTCTTTTAGCCTCACCAACGCCCTGAAACCCTACGCGCCAACCTGGGACGAGCCGAGAAGGGGAGGGCACATCTGCAGCCGAACCACAGTCGGAAACGAACCAGGGAGAGGAAAAGAAAAAGTTTACTAGGCCTTATAAGCTTAGTGCGGCAGCACGGAAGAGGTACTGAAGGCTGATAGCAGCTAAGATAGATGCCAAGAGGCCCTCTCTCTCTCTCTCTCTCTCTCTCTCTCTCTCTGCCAGAAGCCCTGGGACGAAATTCCTCTGCCCACATCTCTCCCAGTTCCGAAGGCGAAGAAACGCAGTCGGTCTGATGAGGAGTCCCCCAAAGACCAGCCCACGAAATCTGTGAAGCTAGCAACGGGGGAGAAGAAGCTCAGCTTCATTGCCATAGCTGGCGCAGCGTGTTTAGAAATTCGCGATTCGAATCCTATGAGAGTGGATCCATCTGCATGCGGCTGGTTCACCGGGCACTAACGCAGGCTATTGCTAAGACGGCCTGTGGAGCGCAGCTGAGAATAGGACCAACATTTTCGCGTTTCACCCACAAGCTTGGTTGGATTTTAGTAACGTGCCTGAATAAGGTAAGCCAGGTCTGGATTATGGGTGAAATCGTAAAACTGAAACCTTGGCCGGAGGTAGAGCTCTTTATAATATCCGAGAGCGAACTGTCTAAGCCTCAACTGGGCATTTACCTTTCTGACCCGCAGCGAAGCTGACTCTTCAAAGAAGGCGACTATGTTGTTGAGGACACATAATGAAGGGCTCCATACCGAGCTCTGGAAAATCCTCCACTGTAGTGACGAGAATAATGGGTTCCTAGTAACCTTTTCTCTTAACGACCCATCGGCGGAGGCTCTCCGAGCGACAGGCAGCAGAGTTGCCCTTGGCATTAAAATGATAACTTTTAAGGTCAGGGGAGGCTCTGACGCGGCAATGGTGCCTGAACCGCCCCAACTTCAATCCCCCTAGCCCTCCACCTCGAGGGGCGAGACTGGAACGTCATCAGCGCGAGTGACTGTGACCCAAGGCGCTGATCTCGCCTCGGTCCGAGGGCCTCCACTGGTGTCGGCCAGGAATAAAGGAAAGAAAGGTGGAAGCGGTAAACCAAAAGGGACGGCGGGGGATCTGAGCGTCTCTATATCAACCACGCTCGGTTCACGTTTAACCGATCATGCGGGGAGATCTGTTTATGACTTTGCCTTGGCATATGGTCTGACACAACTGGTTACATCGCGTACGCGGATTCCAGATTTTGAGGATCATACACCTTTTCTGTTGGACCTTCTGCTGACCTCTCATCCGGACGGATATCAGTTTTCCGTCGATGCCCCTCTTGGCTCTTCGGACCATTGTCTGATACGGAGTGTGGTGCTACTCATGCTCCCCTCGCGGTTGCGTTCTGCAGGTTGCCGCCGTGTTTGGCATTACAGGTCGGCAGATTGGGACGGAATGCGGTCTTTCTTTGCTTCCTAACCATGGGCGGGTTTGCTTCTCGCCGGATGATCCCAGCGCTGTTGCTGACTCTGTCACTGATGTGGTGCTACAGGGAATGGAACTATTTATTCCATCATCTGTGGTACCCATCGGAGGCAGATCTCAGCCTTGGTTTGGTCGCTCCTGTAAGACTGCTTTACGCAGTAAACAGGAGTAATCTCAAGCCTGGGCTGCGGTTTCGGCGACTCGGGATGTAAACACCAGCACACTTAAAAAGAAGTAAAACTTCACCTCCAGGTCCTTCAAAAGAGTTATAGCTAAGGCAAAGTCAGAGCACATAGGCAGAATTGGCGAGAAACTAGTTCGCCTTCCTTCGGGAACCCGTGCATTCTGGTCTCTCGCCAAGGCTGTCCAAGGGAATTTCTGTAAGCCATCATTACCATCTCTGCACAGGGAGGACGACTCACTGGCCCACGACGCAAAAGAGAAAGCCGACCATTTAGACTCCCTTTTTGCGTCCAACTCGACTGTTGATGACGGGAAGAACACACCGCCGACCACCCCGCGGTGTGAGTGCTCCATGTCGGATGTGCGGTTCTCACAGTGCTCGTTTCGCAGAACACTCCACTCCCTTGACATCCACAAGTCGAGTGGGCCTGACGGAATCCCCCCAATTGTGCTGAGGACGTGTGATCCGGAGTTGGCACCGGTTCTAACGCGTCTTTTCCGGTACTCCTACTTCCTAGGCGTAGTCCCGAAATCATGGAAGACAGCTTTTGTCCACCCGATTCCTAAAAAAGGCGACCGCTCAGACCCGTCCGACTATAGGCCTATCGCCATCACCCCCTTGTTCTCCAAAATAATGGAATCCGTTATAAACTGCCACCTCATGCGGTACCTTGAGGATCACCAGCTGATTAGTGACAGCCAGTACGGTTTTCGTCGGGGTCGATCAGCTGGTGATCTTCTGGTCTACTTAACTCATAGATGGGCGGAGGCAGTAGAGTCCAAGGGGGAGGCATTGGCCGTTAGTTTGGACATTGCGAAGGCCTTCTTTTTAAAATAAATTATGTTGAAAAAAAAAGTCCCACTGGGTTTCTTGCTGGTTCTTCCCAGGACAGAGGTATTTTCCGAACCAGTGGTAAATAAAATAATGACTTTCAATAGGTATTATGTAATAATCCATATTGAATAAAAATCATTCTATTCTATTCTATTCTATTCTTCGATCGGGTTTGGCACAAAGCGCTTCTTTCGAAGCTCCCTTCCTATGGGCTTCCCGAGAAATTATGCAATTGTATCACCAGCTTTCTTGCAGTTCGGAGCATCAAGGTCGTTGTAGACGGTGCATGCTCCGACTACAAGCCTATTAACGCTGGTGTTCCGCAAGTCTGCGTGCTATCACCAACGCTGTTTCTTCTGCATATCAATGATATGTTGCAAGCCTGTAGCATTCATTGCTATGCGGATGACAGCACTGGTGATGCTCTATACACCAGCCGTGCCAATATTTCTTGGGAAAACTACACCGAGTACCGGAAGCAACTTGTGTCTGAAGTCGAGTCTTTGCTGGACAAAGTCGCGGATTGGGGGCGACTTAATCTATTCCAGTTTAATCCTCAGAAGACACAAAATTGCGCGTTTACCGCTAAAAGAACCCCTTTGTGTATCTCTTCAGTTTCAAGGCTTGTTGCCTCAGCCAGTATCGGAATCCTCGGCGTCGACATATCGAGTGACGTGCAGTTTCGTGGTCACTTGGAAGAGAAGGCCAAATTGGCCTCTAAAAAACTTGGCGTGCTCAGCAGAGCAGGACAGTATTTCATGCCGGCACACCGCCTGCAACTTTACAAGGCGCAGGTTCGGCCTCACATGGAATACTGTTTCCATCTCTGGGCAGGGGCTCCCCAGAGCCAGCTCCTTCCACTTGACCGCATCCAGCGCAGAGCGGCTCGAATCGTCGACGACCGAGTCCTTTCCGATCGGCTCGACTCATTGGCACTGCGAAGAGATGTTGCAAATCTTTGCATTTTCTTTCGCATCTACCATGGGGAGTGCTCTGAGGAATTGTTCGGATTAATCCCAGCCGCCAAATTTCACGAACGCACATCGCGGCAGAACTCCCGATACCATCCACACCATCTGGATGATTGGCGGTCTACCACTGTGCGATTTAGAAGATGTTTTCTTCCTTCGGAGCCGATCGGAAAGGACTCGGTCGTCGACGATTCGAGCCGCTCTGCGCTGGATGCGGTCAAGTGGAAGGAGCTGGCACTGGGGAGCCCCTGCCCAGAGATGGGAACAGTATTCCATAATGTAATTGAATTATGTTTACTATTTTTTAGTAATAGTTTTATTTTATAGAAAAAAAAAAATATTCCTTCCAAAATATTGGTGTTACGGTGGTTATTTACACAGTTTTAGAAAGCGCACTGCGCCATTTTAACGTCTTAACGTTGGCTACGATTAAACCCTTTTAACTTGAAATTTTTTTCGGACCATTTTTGAAGCGCTTGTCGGTAATCTAGTACTATTATTGATTGAAGGCACTTATCGACGAATTTTCCCACATTAGTATGTTGCTGGGCATCACTCGTCTGTTATTCTCCAGTTTCTGATACGTGAAGTTATTGTTGACATTTGTAGAAAATACTACACTGCCCTTTTATCAAATTTACTTTTGTTTTCAGGTGTCGCTGGCTTAGTATACTTCTTACCCGATCCAAATAAAGAGAGTGGAGGGGCAGGCGATAAATAAGTACAATAAAATATCCATAAATAAAGTGCTTTTTATTTTTATTAAATTTTGTAGAGCCACGCTGCAGCTATAATATGGTTGTACCACGGATGGGTTGACTTGACCGGAGAAGGACTGCGATCTCACGTAATGCCAGCATCAAATAACAGACTAATGCTGCTGCGCAAGTCAATACAGAGAACCCGATACTCTTCTTACTAGACACGAGGCATTCCATTTTAGTCCTTAGGGGTGAGAACGCTCTGCAAAAAACATTTAAGTAGTAGTAATAGACCGGACATCACCAACAAAGTAGTTATCTCTTACTTTTATCATATAGGATATATTTTGAATTTTGTGTCATTTAGTCTTAGCAACATTGTCAAAAGCTCAAGACACATTCATTTCCTAAATTTAAAAAATATTTTAAAGATAATATGCCCGATTGTGCATATCCACAGATATTAAGGTATTGTAAGTCCCGATATGTAGCAAAAACTGAATATGATTTCGGTTTATTATCGCAAGTGTAATGTTTGTTTACCCCCTAATTTTAGATTTTATTATTTCTGGTAGATTGTTCTAGAACATTTATCATTATTGTAATAAGCGCCCTCTATTATCCAGTAACGTCACCAAATGAGTTAGTGAATGACAAAGTTTATCGATTTGTGCTATCCATAAAAACATTTTACAGGATGCAGATCTAATCACATACAATATTTAAGGAGGTGAAACAGTAAACGACACTATTATGATTCCATATTAGTCCTTATTAATTTAGTTTGGTCATAAACTGGTAAGATTTTACAATGTTTAAAAATCGCATTGTCACCATCATCAATTAGGACACGCATATTTGTCGATACAATATTTTTAAGAATTCTAAATTGAAGATCATAGAACTGTTTTAAATATGATTTGTACGTTTGATCATAGCTTGAAAAGCCATACTGAATATAAGATTCAGCGAGAGACTTGTAAACTTACATAATATGCATTTAGTAAAAGCCTGTCGACATTACAAAGAGACACTTCTATTTTATTTATTTGTATAGAGTATAGATATAGATTTCATTGGTAGCGGTAGGAATCTATACAAAGCTGGGTTCTGTATGTGTTTAAATTTTGAAGTTGAATGCTGAATTTCTCTAAGTTAACGTTTTTTTTCCCCTGAAATTAACACTGACCCACCTCTAGTCCATGCTCTCCTGTACTGATATAAAGGTAGAAATCCTATGATTTCTTATAAATGGCGGAATACAATCTCGTTGACAGCAAACGTAAAAACCAAGACCAGTGACTAACTGTAGCGTCAAAGCTATTTCATATCTGTTACTGCGTCTATTCTCCTGCCAATTGTGACGATCACTACACAGTTATACAGAAACCATCACATCTGACTATTTTGGCAGGTATTCGAACCCCGAACTTGTAGCATGGTAGCTATAATACTCAAGTCGTTTTCGTTTGATTTGATCTAGCATTAGACGCTTTTTAATGAATTAAATTTTATGGATTTTATCGCGTTTAATAACTTACAATATACTTCAACCGTGTAGAAGCAGTGTAAGAATATCCACTACTACATATCGCCTCATAGTTGTTGTAAGTTAACAAAGGGAAACTAAAACAGGAGATGGGTGGTAGAATATTCTTGATAACTCCTAAAAATTATGAAAGTCTGCGATTGCCAAACCGCCTGCAAGGCGTAGCAAATATTGCAAAATCCTCCCTATGAGACACGCTGTTGGGGAGGCCTGCGTTCAACGTTGGATTTTTATTGACTGTAATGGATGATAAAATAATTTAGCTACTTTATTCCAACGTTGGGAATACATTAGAGCACACGTAGACACATAGGACGGAGGTGCCCAGCGCTGTGATTTCATACCTGACCCGGGTAATTTTTAGCTTTTTAATATTAATTATATTTTGTTACATCTATTCCGAATGAGCTTACAGTAACTTAATTAAGTCTTGCATTGGTATTCGTGTAAGACTTCAAGATATTTTTAAACACTCGAAACATCGGAAATCTATACTAATCCAATCTAATCTAATTTTTTGTCACAAAATACCTTATTATGGCTTATATATAAGAAAAAGACATATGGTATCATGGACTTTACTTAGATGGAGTAAATATCTATATTTTTGTAGAATATTGTATACGTATACATTGACCATTACGCCAGCGCACGCAGATAAAGTCGTTTGGGAGCGCTTTTTCTTCCGACAAAGTCCAAAAATCTATATTTAAGGCCAGCTGAGAGTTGTAGCCTAGTACTGGATATTCTATACTATTGACTCATGAACTTGGCTAGCATTACAAAAAGAACTTTTCAAATCGGTCTGGTAGTTCCAGAGAAAAAACTCTTCCGCTTTATTAGACTAGACTTTACTCTTTAGAATTATTGAAAAATTTAAATAATTCAACACTCGGCGCACGTACGACATATAACCCTAGCCACCCGATAAGAACTGAGAGAAACCAGCAGTTAACGCCTATATAAGCGAGTTTAGTTTCAGATCATCAGAGACCAGAAACCGCTGGACATGGCCAGTTAAAAATAAGACCAAATAAAACGCGATATAATCCATGAAATTAGTTTTCTTTTCTATATATACTATTCAGATAAATAAGACAATTAATTAGGTGGCGGTCCTGTAACTCATTTATACGATAACCCCAATACACCAACCTATTAAGCCTTCTAAATTACATCCAACGTCAATGAAATAAATATGTCTCGCACATAAATAGATGTAAAAGCGGTTAGTTATCTAAATTGAAGGTGATGAGGGCAACAAATTATTAGAACTTCAAATTAATATGAATGATATAAAATGGTTTGATTAATGATTTCAATATCCCAATTTAAGGCAATCTTAAGGAGAATAATTATTTATAACTAGTTGTCGAAATTCGACCGTGATTCATGAAAGATTTTGTATTTATTTAGCTGTATTTCACTTTCATCTATACATTAATAGATAAAACAGATATCTTAAGTACTAAATATAAAATAAACGCTTTTTTTATCTTGACATACACTCCACAGGCTATTGAAGAAGAAACAATTGAAATCACACAAAATTCACAGCTCATTCAGTCAATCTGTCAATAAACTACCAAATATAACCGATCTCGCTAATTCTTTTTTTATAATATTCCTTGAAGTACGAAGATGGTTCGTACGGAGATAAAAGTTTAAAAAATTGCTTGAAAAAGTCTAAAAACAACACTTTTCTATACTCCCATAAAAAAAGATTCGTAATAATACTTAAAAGTCAATTTGAACTTTTAATACCATACCATAAAGTTTAATCCGTTTAGTCCGTTTATCCGTCAAATGTAGAAATCGAAAGATTTTGTTTTTAAATAGAAATATACATTTCGACATTTAGTTTTTAGTAGTGGTGCATAAAATCCAAAAGGGCAGTGCAAGATATACTCAGTACAATATACTCAGGCCCATTCCACTCATCACTTGTCATGGAATAAAACTAATTTTACGGTTTTTATTTGCGTTTAATTTTAGCTTTTTTAATTCCCGACGCTTCGGGCACTTTCTCATGGTCGCCATGAGAACCCCCCCCCCCCCCCACCCGTCACCACGGGCGCTGTAAAGTGCCCGAAACATCTGGAATTATAAATGTGTTGATGAAATGTGGTGAGTGTTAGTAAAGGGGTTCCGGGAAGGCAAAATTATTGAGTGACGTTAGTATCGTATAAATATTAATGTCAATATTTGTCAATATTTATACACACTGGCAGATAGCTGATGTTATAAGGAGTAACTTGGACTTTATTTTAGGGTTCCGCGAAAAATAACTCCACGCGGGCGAAGTCGCGGGGAACGGCTTGTATTATTATAAATATGAGTAATAATTTTGCTCCATAACTAAAGAATTACTAATAAATAGTAAAATCTAAGTCGTCACTTTTACACGATTATTGCAACAATCATTTCATATTATTATCATCATTATCAGTACAGCTCATCAAGTCCACTGTTGCACATAGGCTTGCCCTAAGGAACGCCACAGAATAAGCACGGTCAACCATTCCTCCTCTTGCATTCCTCAACTTCTTGCATCTCTAACTAGATTGTCACTGTGTCTATTAGGGAGCTGCCCTACACTTCCCTTAGCGCTGCGAAGCCGCCAGTCGTATCCATTGTTTGTTGATTCTTCGAGCTATGTAAGCGCGACTTATTGCCACTTCGACATACTTATCGGTTGCGCTATGTTGATATCTCTCGTTCTGCTGCGCATATCATTATTACGAAGTCTATCATGAAATACTTCTACCATAGCCCTCTCTATAGCTCGCTAAGCGACCTTGATCTTCTTCATATAGACAGCTGTGAAAGACCACGTTTCAGATTCATGTTATCCCTAGTAACACGTACTGGATGTACATTTTTTTTAAAGATTTGAGTACGTATACACGTAACGAGAAGATTTGTTGTAATTTCCTGAACGCTGCTCAGCCGAGTTCAATCAGTCGATCGACCTCTCAATCGAAGTTGGACTTACCTAGTCAGATAAATTGTCCTAGGTAAAAGTACCCATCAAAAACTTCGAACGTAGATCCCATCATCTACCGGAATATCGACATGAACGTTACACGTGACCTTTGTCTTGTCTATGTTCATCTTAATACCCATCCTTTGGCAAGTACTATTGAGTTCATTTGGCATAGTGTCTGAAGTCCTCCAGTCAAGAAATCGAAAGTGAGTCGTGTATTCACCATTGATATTCATTCTTCATACATTCTTATATTCATTAAAACTCTTAAAATATACGCGTAATGGAACGTAAAACAAGTTTACCTAATCATTTCTATTTAGAAAAAAAAATGCTAATGTACATTTTGTCTATCTTAAGAATACTTTGTGTAGCGTATCAGGATCACCAGAAGCTCGGCCCATGCATAGTAAAGTAGGCATTACCATACTGAAAGTGCGCGTTCTATTTGGATAAACTACAAAAACATTTATTCTCTTACTGAA